CTGTAATTTATCCAGCCATTTGAGCACTTGGCACTGCTCATCCTTCTTCATCTCTTCAATCATTTTGTTGATGACCTCCTTGGCTCAGGTCTTGTGTACCCAATTCTTGAGTACAGCCTTTGCTGCTTCCTCCATCAGTGCTTCTCACATGGCTCACCATGTCCACTCTGTGTCAAAGAGTTTGAGCCATACCTTGGGAGTCTCTCCCCCTGTTCAGCCCACAGGTGCTTGAGTTTTTCTGGCAATTCTTTGGTGTGGATGCTTGGTAACTTGGATATATTTGAATGCATGCATAATTTAGGCATAGGAGTAACTATAGAAGTATTATTAGCCTGTTCAGCAGCTACAAATTGCACACCATGAAGTCCTTTGGCCAACCTAGTGGAATTGCTCACTGGTTGGCTCTGTCTTTTACCTCCTCCACCCTTGTGTCAGTGTCCAGCTCTTCCTTTTCCTTCTGGAGCTCAGCTATTTGCATCCAATTGTCTTCTCAGGTTTGTTTCCTCTTGGGACAATCCTTTGACATGTGGCCCTTCTGGCCACAGTTGAAGCATTTTCCCTCTTTCTTGAGCCAGTCAATGTGCATCAGCTTCCCTGTCCCAGTGTAAGTAGTTCCTGTGCCTGTCTTCTGGGTTGAGTATGATGGGCCAGCTATTGAGGTCTCTAATTTGGTGGTGTTGGGCATGTTGATGCTTTTGCCAGAAGTTGATGATGGGCTCAGCTTTCAGTAGTCTTGCAAAGTTGTTTGTTCCACCTTCTGCTGTTGTTGCTTGTTATACATCTTGATGATCTGTTCCTTCCAGCTGTCATATCCCCTTGGAATCAACTGTTTGATCCTGAGGGCTGTGATCATCATGATGTAAGAGGATGGAGTACCTCTCTTGAGGGCCTTGACCATTCTTCTGTCATCTGCCATATTATCTCATATGCCAGCAAGCTTGGTGAGACATTCTAGCTCATCAAAATAGTCCATTGCCATCTTGTCTCCTATCTTCCACTTCTTGATCTTTTGCTTGTGTACTTCTTGTATGGTCAGATCAATGAACTTATTGTGGAGCATTTATTTGAACACTAGCCATGAGGGGTATTGGTAATGTCCCCTCATGGTGAATCAGAAGTTAGGAGAGATTAGAATCCACCAGGTCTTCACCTTGTCCTCAAGGTATGAGGTGGCAAAGACCACTCAGTTCATGTCTGTTCTGAGGTAACTAATATATACCTCAAAATATTGCTTGCAGTCAACCAGGAATTGGTCGATATTGTCAGATGCCCCTTTGAAGGGATGCAGCTTCCTGAGTAGGTCTGACTTGCACTGCAACACCACAGTATTCTCTGATAGGGGATCCATCAGGTTGGGCCATTCTTTGAAGGGCAGGCATTGCCAGTTAGTCAGCAGCCCAGGGAGTGAATGGAGAGACTGGTTGTCTGCCACAGTACTTCTTCTGGGTGCTTCCTCCTTCTGTACAATCACTCTATCTTGTATGGTAAATCTCAGTCAGACCACTTCTGGGTTATCCTGAATTGGTTCTTTTCCTTTTCCACTCCTGGTAGCCTCATCTGCAGGAGATTGAGTGGCTAGAAGTCAGCTGCTGGCTTCTGTCCACAGATTGTAGTAGCCAACAGGCTGCATGTTGGGCCAGATTCAGGATTGAGATAACTGGGTTGCCAACATTCATACTAAGGGGGTGGAATATGAATATGTGCTCTGGATTGATGGTGCCATGTATTCAGCTCATCTTGAGGTGATCAGTGGTGATCAGAGTATTGGTCAGACTTTAGATGGAGACTGGTAGGCTAGCAGTTGGCTGAGTTGATCTTCTGGATGGTTCCTGTTGTAGACCTTGGCTGCATAGTCAGTGGTGGCATATCTAAGTATCTCCTGTCTTTCTGTAGGTTCAGCAATATATAATTTGCCTAGGGATGATGACAACCAGTCATTATTGCACTATAGAAACATTATCTCCTCCTGATATAGTCTTGCAAACTCTCCCTCCCTTGCTCTGCATATTTTCTCTTCTAACACTTCATTGTCAGTGTCTTCTGGATAAAAATACATGATATCCTCTTTCCCACAGAATAGTCTGCTACTTTCACTGTCCTTGTCATCCTTGACCAGCAGCTCCTCATCCTCTCTGCCCTTAACAGGGAAGGTGGCAGGCAGGTCAAAGATATTCTCCTTGACCTCAGGTAGTTGGATTGTCACTGTCATTATGCTGCTCTGGCTGGGTACTTGGTCCAATGGTGAGGCTCAAAGGGACTGGGATGATCATAATAGTGTAGTCTGTAATGGGGCAGCTTCTGATTTTGGGGTCATACCAGTTCCTGCCAGCTGCTTGTGCACTCTCCACTCTTTTGCTATAAAGGCAGAAGTTGCTATAGAATTGTTCATCAAGGAATTGTCAAGCAACTCTGCTTCTGAGGAAACCTCTGAGGGTGCAAGCAGAGACATGAGCATTGACAGGTACTTGAAGCTCATAGTGTCTGAGGATGGACTCATTGTCCTTGAAGGCAGAATCAGTGCTGGGGGTGTATTGGAGAGGGGGATAGTCAAGGGTGTCAGGGCTGGCAGGATGGAAGTTGGCCTGCCCTGGAGGCAGAATCCCATTGTCTCTTTCTGCTCTTGCTTTATCAGCAGTAAGGATCTCATAGAGTCCACCTGTCCATGGGTTATTTTCATTATTGGTGTTAGACTCCTGGAATACAGGAGTAGAGAGTAAGAGCTCCAAACAGAGCCTGTACCAGCCAGGGAAGCTGCTTCCAAAGTGAGCTGCCTCTGCTTCTTGTTGCTGCTGTCAGTGCTGCCAATCATACTTGGTGGCTTCTGCCTCATGCTGTCTTTCTGCTTGGATATGGTCAGTGAGATCAGAGAGGTGGGAGGATCTGACTTGCTGCTCCTCTTGTAATACTGCTGCATTGTAATCAAATGGGACATTGAGGTCCCAGTGAGAGAAGTACTGACAAATGATTTTATTACATGCTTCTCTTCCTCATTGCTTGTTGTCTGCCTGCTGGGAGGAGCTCCTCCCCATCCCCATGCTGGTTCTGAGAGGGCAGAGAGACAAGATGGGGCTTGGAGCTGCTGAGACATAGAAAGGTGAGGGGTCTGGGGAGTGATGCTAAGATCCTGGAGCCACCCTAATGGCATCAAGGGAATTCCAAGCATGGTCTCCAATTCCATGAGTCCTCAGGGTGGTGGAATGATCAGAGGATGGAGACTGGTCAAAGAAATCTGAGGGGAGATTCTTGTCCTTGTGATTTGAGACAGAGAGTGAGACTCATAGGTTTTGGAATCCTGTGAGGTGATCATTTCAGTTTCTGCTGCTAGTGTGAAATCAAGGGGAGTAAGTGGGTCTTTCTTCTTGAACATCCTCTTGATGCAAGCTGCTAGGCCCAGCCTCAGGTAGGGGGCTTGTCATAGGCTGGTGGGATGTTCATTGGGATTCAGGGATGTCATAGAGAGGTAAATCAGGGGTTACATTGCATAAGATGTGGCAGATATTCTGGAATTCTTGATAGTGTCTAATAGCCCAGACAGTAACTGATTGGCATCTCCAGCACAGCTGGATGATCACCAATAAGACTAAGAGTGTTCTGATGATAGAAGTGAGGAGTTTGAAGAACTCATGGTCAAAGTTAGAGTCTGATGCATTGATGTTGATAGAGGGCATTTGATTTCCTTTACACTGATTATGCATAAGGAAAGGGAAGAAGCAGCTTTGAGCTAATTGTTAGACTCAAGTTGCATATGACTATATACATGTGATAAACTGATGCCACTTTGCACTTAAAGTGAGAATGTCAGAGTCCACTGATGTGAATATTGATCAGAGTGCTTCAAGGCCTTATGATTGGCTCAAGAGTGGAATAGTGTGAAGATAAACTTTAGCTTGAAGCTGGGGATTACCAGCAAGAGTGAGCCTTCTCATATACTACAGGTTGTGTCTGCTATAAATACTACTACTTATTATGTTCTTGTATGCTATTGTGCTTATTGTCCTTGAGTGTTATAATGTCCTTCAATAGTGTTATCATGTATTGTCAGAAAATCATGTTGTGTTGAAAGACAATGACTGACTGGACTTGTTGTGATTATCAAGCCAGTCTCATGGTCTCAAGCACCTGTGTTAAGCGCCCTGACTAAGCATGAATAGGGGTCAATCCATAAAGAAAAGAAGAAAAATAGTAAAAATCATAACAATTCTATTTCTCTGTTCAACATCCAGTTATTCAGATACCTTTCTTTGGATCTCAGTTCTCTGTTCTAAAGCATGTCCCATCAGTACATCAATGGGTGTGCATTCTTGATCAATATGATCAGAATTGTCAATCATATTTCAATCATATTCTTTTTATTTTTAGCATATCTTGTTGTAATGATATTAGTATGTTTAAGGCTAAGCACTGGAACCTCACATGCAGTCTAAACCCCCTGATATTAGTCTATCACTAGGCCATGCACTTTGCTCATTATTACTTCAGTTTAGCATCATAATAGTGATGTTTCTTTGTGCTCTAGTCCTATTATCTGTTACATGCATAGTAGACTGATAGATAGTCCATATAGTCTCAAATTTCGCAAATTTACATGCCTGAATGAGGAGAGGGTGTGTTATATCCCCCTCACTCATATCTGGACCTTCCATGGTATCTTCAGTAGGTATCCATGTCTGTATCTTAATATTATAGTGCTAATTCACTGTGTTCTGTCAATGACACAACCTATCAACAACAGGACATTCTCTGATCCACACAGGACTGTATCCTGAGCTTTCTCAACACTGTGACATCAAACTAAGTTGCCCACATGCATACTCACTTGCTTGCTGCTTCCAGATGGTGTGCTAGCCTGATTTGGGCATGTACAGGTCATATTTATATAAAAATTCTCATATCTGATGACTTATCAGGCATGGGTGCTGATCTCACACTATTTCTTGCTTTCTTTCCTCCCAATTCACTCTCCCAACATCTCCCATGCTGTTTCTCTAGCTTCTCTTGCTATGACAACTTTTGTGCCTTTACTCACTATCCCTATGGACACTCTTGTGGCCAATCTCATTGGTGCCCATGCCTTCATAACCACATACTTTGATTCTTCTGTAGCACATATTATAGGACCCCAGGACCTCATTGTTGCTGTTAACCAGACCAGCTCCTACTTGGTACATGCTTATTTTCTGCTTGTTAGCTTACTATTTGTGTATGCTTTGTGTCTGTAGGCAGCTTATGATGCCAGTCTCACACATTTCAACCTGCATGACTCCCACTATGAAGTGTCCTTTTGTCTGGAGCTTGCCAAGCTCATTCAATGTATCCCTACCCATCTCTAATGCAAGGAGTGGAAAACCTGGGTGGTTGCAGAGGTGGAGCATAAAGATTTCTTGGTATGCTTCCTTATTCCTCAGCCTGATTCTCTTGCTTATATTTCCATTCTGCTAGTGGGATTATGATACTTCCTTTCTTCTGCCTGGGGAGCTGAATTGTAAAAATGAGAATCCATCCTCCATTCTCCACTGGCTCCTGCTCCCTTCACATGCTATTTCTGCCCCCACTGCTCTGGTTGTCATTGGCTCTACTGCCTTAGTCTCCAAGGCTATGGAACTAGAGGCTAGTTCATCTAGGTGAGTTCTGATCCTTGTTTCTCTTCTGTGTCTCTGTTAGCTCATACTATTGCTCTACTTCTAGAGTCTCTCTAGCCAACACCTATCAGGATCTCCAGGTTTCAAGAGAATCTAGTAAGTTGTGCTCATTGTGCTCTATCTCTCTTCTTCTTGCTGTAGCTCATTTTCTTTTTCAGGTTTCACCTCTGTTGCTAAAAATACCATCTCTATGGTTCTTTCAGCCATTGTTTCTGACTTAATAGGTTATCCTTTTCATATCTGACTTTTCATCTTCTCATTGTCTTCACATTTGCAGAGCCACAGTGGCTCACAAACATCAGTAGGAGACAGAGATCTGGTTCCTGTAAGTCAATCTTTCTTATTCCTCTTTGCCTGTGCTCATTCTCTTTCCTCTTCTCCTAGACTGTATCTGATCCCACCTCTAAGAGGGCTAAGCTTATCCTGTATGTTGTTTATCTCTCCTTCAGCTGTATTCTGCTCATTTTCTATTTTATTTAGTGCAGCTAGCTCATCTTAGTTCCACATGCAGCCTTCAGTACCTCATACTCCACTTTCTCAGACCACCTTCCAGTGGAAGCCAATTCCTAGCTCTCTTGAATTTCCTGTCTCATGTGGTGCATTCTTCTGCTCTTTCTCTATGGTTCTTCTCATTCTCTGGCTGATATTGTCTTCCAGCTCCATCTATTGATCATGATACCATTACTCCTTCTGCAAGGGAGAGTGATAGGCCTGCTGGCTCTTCTCCATACTCATTGGTACCTCTGATCCTGTGAGTGAGAGGCCTGAGGGTGCTTCTATGGAGACTGTTCCTTCAGCTCTAGGCAGTCAGTTATCTCCTTCTTCTCATGTGTATCATCTTCTGACTGATGAGCCCCTTCCTAGTATCATTTATCTTGCCTTTCCAGCACCTCCCAAACCTGCTTCTCCTCCTCTTACATGTGTGTCTTCTTTCTGGTGCAAAGAGATGACAGTTCCAGTGGCCTCTGGGAAGCCTCCTTGCCCTCAGCACATGCAGAAGTCTACTCCTGTGGTTTCTAAGCCTCCTGCCAATATGACTGTAAGGGCAGCTGTTGACCACACCATTTATACATGCACCTTTCACCCAGACATTGATCTCCAATTTGACAAACCTCCTTTCCATCAGGCCTTAGAATCTATGAAGCTTTCTATGCTTTCTGTCACTCCTGAGTCTTTGACTAAGTGAGTCCTTTCTCTCTGTTTTTCATCCATATTCTGATTGTATTTTATTCACAGACCATCTGCATGATTGCACAGTGGCCAAAAATATGTTTACCATTGCCATTCTGATAAAGATTCTTATTTCATTTATCCTCCTCTGGTATGTTTGTCTTTTCTGTTTCTTATTCTCATTCTTATTTTCTTGCTCATTAGCTTTTCTGGCCATGCTTTAACTGCACTTTGGCTGGTTTCCCTGAGGAATGCATTTTTGAGAGTGGAGTTGGTGAGGAGATCTATACATGCTGTAGGTCCACTTATCATGGCCACTGCTCTGCATGCTGGAATGCCAATCAGCTCTATCATGCTGCTACCTTATTGAATCCTCTCACTCTCAGTGATGATGATGGTATACCTATTCAGATCTCTGTTTATTTTTGCTCTACCCAATTATCTTGCTCTTAGCTATTCATTGTGGCATTGATTGTATCAAGCATATCCAGGTCAAGAGCAAGCTGCTCACAGAGTCCTTTCAGTTCTTGTATGAGGACCAGCAGTAGATTGTGGGTGAGCTTACTGATGGTCTTGATGCTATTGCTTCTCATGAGCATGGTACTGAGATCATCAAAGCTTATATGCCAGTCTCTGATCTCCTCAAATCTTTCTTGGTACATTCTAGTTCTAAGGATATGTCTATTGATGGGAATGCTGTGGTGTTTAGTTCTGACACTGAGTAAAGGCCAGTATCTTTCTTAACACTTCTTGTATGCTTATATTTCTCTCTGTTTCCTTTTCTCATGCAGTGTTTTCTTGTAGATACTCTTCTTTATTTATAGCAGCACTCAGGGTCTTGAGATGCAGCCAGTAGTAGTGCTCTGTTCATAGCTTATTGTCATATTGTGCACTCTTTTCTTGTGAGCCTATAGAGCTCTAGTATACTAATATACCTCTCTTCTTGTTGTGTTCTTTTTGATTTCAGCTGAGACTAAGTTTCACATTTCAACTCAATCCATGTGACCCTGGAGGGCCCTGATTGTCATGTTAGACTTGTGCCTGAGTCTCATACACTAGTATTCTTTATTCATTATTTCTTCTTTTCTGTCATTTCATAAGCTGTTCAATTTCTCTCTTCTGACCTGTTCTTCTTATTTCCTTGGAGAAAGTTTGGTATCATTGTGTATTGACTTCTCTTTAACTGTCTGAACCTGTCACTGCTATTAATAATTTGATTTTCTGTTATTATTCTGTTATTTCTTTTTTATTTCTTCTGTTTCTATGCCTAGCAGAGATTGTGTAATCACAAAATTTACTGTATCTTTGTGGTCAAGATAGTTGTGGTGATACCTCAGGTATACCACTATATCCTTCACACTAAGAGCATCTAACTGTTCTCAGTTCTAAATCAAATCAAAATTCACTTATTTTATAAGGCAGAATCACCTTTCTAAGTTTCATACATGTCAACTGTTAGTTCTCTGACTTTGACACCCTTAATTTCTGTTCTTTTTCACAAAATCTCTTTCTCTGTTATTATTTGCCTAATCAAATATTATTATCATGCAGGTATAAAGGTTGAGAGTTTTCTGCATTGTTTTGACTCAACCCACCACCTCTCAACTTGTCTTCATTGTTATTTGTCCATTTCTTCTCAGCTCTCTGTCAAAATGATCCCTACTTTCATTGTTGTGAAGACAGTCATCATGTTCCTCTGCAAGGATCCCACTACTACTGCAAATGATCATTTTGATCAACTCTAGGAGTATATCATGTGTTTGTGCATTATTCCCCACTGTTTTACTGACTTCCCATATGATAGTCCCATCTCAAGCATTATAAATGTGAGCTCACCAAGAATAAGAACCTCAAGGAGTTGGTTTTTCATACTCACACTGCCATTGAAAAGGAATTTCATACCAATGCCTCCAAGCAGCCTATCCATAAGGTGCTCAAGACCATCATTGGATGGGTTCAAAGTGAGTGAGGTCAGATTGCAGATGGAGGGGCAGATGCTCCTTCTATTCCAACTGGCCCTCATTGTGACTCTAAGTCAGTCTGCAATCCTTTTCTCTGTTTAATAGTTCCTCTGACTGATTTTATCCTACTAGGCCAGAGTCATTGCATGCAATAAGGGCAAAGGCTGTGCTATTTATCATTCTTATGCAACTATTGATGCCAAGTCTGATGAAGATGAAGATGATCCAGACAAAGTAGAAGTCTCTTCTGATTCTGATACTGAGTCTATTAAAGTATGCCTAGTCTTCATGATCTCTGCTTGACTATCTGACCTCCAATCTCCTCAAGATGATCATTGATGAGAAGGCTTTCAGAGCTGGAAGATCTCTGAAGTTTTCCAATGCTAGATCTAGCAATGTGGTTACTGAGGACAAGCATAAGAAACTGTATAAGGTCAGAGCCTTTGCACATTATTGATGTCCCCCTCACTAAGAGATTGTAATTCTAAGAGGAGCCATCTTCCTATGTGCATTGTGATGCCAATAGTCATTCTTTTGCTGTTTACTCTAATAAGGGTCAGATATGTTGTCTTCTTTTCTTGCCTGTCACTTGTGTTTCTAACCAGTGAAGTGGCTCAGGCAACTTCTGAAAGGTTTATCAGCAAAGATGGTGCTCATGCTTGCAAGTATGCTAAACCATTGTTTCCACTTTCATCAGCCCAGAAGTATTTTCATCATGGTTCTTGTGGGGTTGGAGAGTAGCACTCTGCCTCAGCTATGGGACTTGTTAGTGTCTGTATGTATCTCTTTTTCCTTGGTCACTATATCATTTCTTAGTTGCACTCTTCATGTTCTCAGTTGCTGATGAAGAGAGAGCTGCTCCTAGTGTTGATGCTTTGCATGAGAGTTATAAAGAATCAACTATAGCTTGTTTTGTGGTAGAGAGATCTGAGCATCTGGCCAAGCTCAAGAGTGTCCTCATGGGTGATGTCCTTATGCTCCAGCACACTCTATATGCTGCTGAGAAACAACACATGTTTCTCCTTGATGAACTTGAGTGCATCCAATCTACCCTTCATCTCTTAGTTCCAGTGCCATCAGACTCTGGAGATCCCACTCCTGTGGAGACTGAAGCTCCTCCTGCTCCTTTTACTTCATCTAATGTCAAGCCTTCATCTGCCTAATCTCAGGCCAGTGGTACTTGACATCTATAGTATTCATCCATCATCTGATCATCTCTTATCAGTTTATCATGATCTCTTATTCTCCTTTTCTTTCTCTGACTCCAAGGCAGAGCTCTTGCTATCTATTTGCGAGTTCACTCTTCTGTTCTTTGAAGATTTGAGTTTGCAGGTTGCCCATGGCTTTAGATATATGTACCTGTAGACTATGTCTTTGAATCTTCTTACATCACAAGTACAGTAGCTAGTGCTGAACATTCTGTCATTACTTAGCAATTATATGCCCATGGAAGGCATTTCTGCATTGCATTCTAATCCTCATCTAAGTTAACTGCATCCAAAATCTTTGGATTAGGTGATTCTTTAAACTCTTCTGTAAAATTTGACAGTCATCTCTCTTTAGGTTCTGGTGCCTCTAATATCTTTCATAATTTCTTTAAATGTTCATGCAGCTAGTGCATGACCTTGTCATCAATTTATATTGAATTGCACATGAGGTATATGATCACATAGAATGCCATAATCTTTGAACCAATTAATGTGCCATCTAGCTCTGCTAGAATGTAGTTTCCTGTGCTTGAATAGTTCAGTACCACTAAGGGACCTAAGTATCTCTGTTTCATCTTTGTATTTAGTGCACTCTGAATCTGTGTATGGCACATTAAAACTAAGTCCCCTTATTTGAAGTTATTGGACTTGATTTTATTCACATGCATTGTCACATATTTCAATGTATCCTGTTTCTTTTTCTCATCCATATTATTGTGCATCTCTGCTATCTTATCTGCATGTTTCTCTAGTGCTATTGCACACAACTCATGGAGCTCCCAATCCTCTAGAATTCTCCCTGGATACTCAACTAACTATGTTGCTTCTAGTACATCAAGTGGTAATATTGGATGCATGCCAGTAACTGCAAAGAAGGGAGAGCATCCCATCCATTTTATTACAGTGATTCTGTCAGCCCACATCAGTAGCATGAAGTAATAATGCTACTTTTTCTCATTTCCTCCACATGCTTTAAATAAGCTCTGTTGCACATTCCAGTGTAGTCATTCTATCCTTCCATTGGCCTGAGAGTTGTATGGAGATATCCTTATCCCCTTTATACTATATTTCTATTCCAAATAAGCTATTATAGCTTTAAATAGCTTACTATTATCTGTTATTATTAAGAAAATACAGCCCCATCAGCATATGATATCTTCAAATAACCATTCTGTGATTACTTGTGCAGTTTCACTTGCTAAAGTTTATCCCTCCATCCAGCTAGTTAGCACACAACACCCATGCACAATATACTTCTGATACTTTGATGCCTCTGGCATGTGCATTGTGTCTGCATGTAATATCTGGAAGATTGATGGTGTAAAGGTCACCATTGGAGAGGTCTTGATAATGGTCTTCTGATGCTTCTAGCACATGTTGCAAGTGCTAACAAACCATGAGATATCACACTCCATCTCTGGCCACCAAAATCTCTCTTTAATCATCATTTTCATCACATATATCCTTTGGTGTCCAAGTTGATCATGCACAGCTTTCATTATATACATTCTCTTCTCTGAGTAGATAACCAGCTTGTATTCAGACTCTATATCTCATCTATATAGCTTCTCTTTATCCACCATAAAGTTCTTTGCATATCTTATGAAGTTCCAGTATTGATTATTCTTAAATCCAGGTATTCATATGGTAGGTTCTCATGCCACTCAATTACCTGTGGTGTTATGATTTTTCCTTTTTTTTTCTTAATTAACTCCTATTCTTGCTTAGTCAGAGCACTTAGCACCAGCACTTAGGACTATAGGCATGCTTAGTCACTATAATAGAAGAGTCAGCCATTGTCCTCCAACAGCAATGAGTCTCTTAACAATGAATAATACTCTTTTGTAGGTAGTTGCAATGCTGAAGGACAATAAGCACTATCACTTAGAAATGCACAACTAGTAGATATATATTTAATGCACTGATAAGCAGTATATAAGTAGCATAGCTCTTGCTGTATATTCTCAGCTTCAAGCTAAAGTTTATCTTCACCATTCTACTTTGAGCTGATTAGCATTGGCCTTGAGACACAACACCACACAAGCACTTATAGTGAACTTAGGCATGACTGTACAAACTCAATACAGTATCTGTTTATTATATGTTTAAGTCACATGTCACATAGGCTTAACATGTAGTAATTGCTTCTCTAGCATCTTCACATACCCACTCCTTCATAATTTATCATAACTTGCTATGTCACTATAATCTGCAGCATCAGAGAGCAGTAGTCCCACATTATACAGTACTGCACACATTTCACTGCACTTTAAGACTTCCTGTATTAACTTGTCTTCAAGAAAGTCATGTACTACTCTGGCAATGGTTACAAAGCTATGCCAGATGTTAATTCTTTCTTTAAATTCTGAAATATCTGCTATCTTATCTTCAGTCTCATTGATGAATTTCCATAGTTCCTCATCTGGTGGACTATATTCATCTTCTGGGTTTGAGTACTCCTCATCCCCTGGCTGGAAACTGCACCTAGATAATCCATCTGGTGCATGTATCTCACCTGGAATATGTACCAATATGAAGTGAAACATCAGAATAAATTCTATCCATCTGTTTATTGCAGCATTAGGAATCTCATCAGAGTTTTCAAGCATCTCTGTGATGTATTTTGCATTTATTTCTACCACCAATTTTCTCACTCCAAAGAGCCAATGTTGACAATCATCCAGGACTCTGAATAGTCCATAGAGCTCTCATTTTGGCTGTGAAAAGTATGCTTCTTGCTCATTTAAAACAATAGAGCCAAAGCACACATATCTCCTTCACTTTGGGTTATCTGGATCTACTTGACAGATATGAAATCCAGCTGCATGGTATGATATGTCTATCCCCAATATCACATCTGTCTTCAATTCATAATCAATTGGCATTAAAGATGGCCTAGAGCATAATAAATCCTTTAATATCTGCATAGATTCTCTCTGCTCTTCTCCAAATTTGAATGGTACTTTTAAGCATGTTAACTTTGTTAAGGCATCTGCTTTCTTGGCATAATCTTTAGTAAACATCCTGTATATGCTCATTGTTCTCAGAAAGGAGCACACATCTCTCAAGTCTTCACATGGTTCTCATCACATTATTACTCCTACTCTGTCTGTTTCAGATTTTCTGCCTTCATAGATGCAGTAGTATCTCACAACCATGATTTCTGACATGCAAAGGACAGCTTTATGACCAGAGAATGTTTTCTCAGCATATTTCATACCCTGTACAATATGGTTCATGTTCTGAAAGTGCTCCCATACAAATCTGTGAATCTCTCAGTTTTCCTTAATGGTTTCATATCCTCCACCCTTTATTTCATAGCATGTTTTCAGTAATCATACTGGAACATCATCTACATAAGGTATAGTGATGTGTGGTACTTTATCTTTCAAAATATATGTCACATCATCATGAAATATTGGTCTAGAGTTTGTCCATCCTATGGGCTATATCACAAGTCTTAGCATGTCAAATGGTGTTTGGAATGTGGTAAGATCTCTAGATCTCTTATCTAAGATTATCTAATCATATTCTACATAGAGATCCAATATGCCTCTACAGAAACATTCTGCAAAGTGCTCTGCTAGCTCATCTGTCACTGGAGGCACTCCTGAGTGCTTGATAGTGACTGCAGTCAAGAGCTCCAGGATATGGACTAGCCTCAGACTCTTTCCATCTTTCTTAACCACATAAAACCAACATGAGTGATAAAGAGGTCTTATATGCACACAAGGTGAAAACAGATACAGCAAAGTGCTATCCACTGATCACACTCACACCAACACATATACAATACTCTTAGTTTGTGGGGAGATTATAATGCAATAAAGGTAGTAACAGCAAATATAATTGTCTTCTCCAATGAATCCACTGTATGCAAATAGCAATAATGCATGTACAACAGTTCTAGGTCTCTCTAAGTCTCAAAGCTTTTCATTTTATGAAAACAAGAGATGGAAATGAATGTTGCCAGGTCTTGAGGCAAAGATACTGTAGCTCAATACAATACATCAAAACAATCCCACAACTCTCACAAAGGTTCCAAGCATAGCTCAGATCAAATCAAAATCTCTAACACACACAATACATGACCCAAAGCTTAGCACTCTAAGCAGAAACCAATCACAAATGTGTCCACAAATGCCAAAAAGCTTAGATCTCTGTACACAAGTTTCCAAACCAATTGTAGACCCACAGAATTCAAACCTATGCAATCTAGAGACACAAAACACAATAAAACACTATCCAACAGACTTAAAGGGTTTGAACCTCTGCCATCTGTAGTGCTGCATATCACAAATACCTCAAAAACTCAAGATAGTGTCTTTCAGACACTGCTCTCTTATTCTCAGGCTAGAGCACAATCCAAAACCCCTTATTCAATTGAACTAGAGTCCTGCATAAGCTTTGATGCCTCACACAGTTCTTAGATCTCCCTTAATAATATCAATAAGAAGTCTATTCTCTTGCCTGAAGTTACAAACACAAAACCAGAGCTAGAGTACAAGGCTTTCTGTGCCCAATACACTGCAACTGTGAGAGGGTCAGAAACTTGTATTCTACTCATACAATGTGGCATTTAAATACTCTACTGTGGTACTTACTAATACAACTCTACTATAGTATCTTCAATGTGTAGGACTCTGTTCTGGATTCTGCAGATATTATTTACATGCATATTGCAGTTGACATGCTTATTCTGATCTGAGTTGGGACTGTTTCTGCTGTTTCCTCATGATCTGACATTGACTAGCTGGTCTAGCCAGGTCTGCTCACTTTTTTATTTCTCTGGTGAAGCATTCTGACACTGGAGAACTGTTCCAGGCCCCCAGGATTATCTCTCATGTCTGAAGTCAGTCACAATGACTATGTTCTCTTTTCCAGTGTCCAGACATTCTATCTGACTCACAATATGCACCATTTCTGGTCTAGTGTGCATCAATTAATCCACCCAA